CACTAGTGCCTTAGTGATCATGCGAAGACCCCGCAGAGCAAGATTAGGGGTGTTATCTCCTAGGAGAGCCTCGAACCTGGGTAAAGTACGCCGGGGTTCGTGTCTACGCCTCATTCCGCTTCCGGGCACCGACGATGTTCTACTCGCTTCCACCATGATAAGCCATCCTTTGGCATATGTCACGCCCAACCCCCGACATTTGGTGGATGCCGCATCGAGAAACTCAATCGGCGGAACGACGACCCGCCTACCTGCCAGGAGCATGACGCGACGTCCCGGACGCTGACTGGCGGCGACCGCGGACGACGAGACAAGGAGCCGGCTACCAGCCGCAGCCGGACGCACATCACCATCGAGCGCGACCAAGACGGCCGCCTACGAGCGCTGGAACGACCAGGCGACTACCGACCTCCCCCACGGTGGGCGTCAACTGTCGTGGTATTCTCACAGGGGGGTGCAAGACGACAGATGCCACAGGGTGGCTTAGTGTGAGGGCAAGACTGCTGCCAGTATATCCGGGGACGGGTATGCGAGTAGCACGCGCTAGTTTACCCAAGTTCGGGGCTCTCCCGAGAGATAATACCCCTACTCCTGCATGTCTGAGTATATATCTGGGGTGTACATCAGGCAGTACAAAGTGCTCCTGGAGCTGTATCTGAGATCAGTGCCTAATGCATCTGATCTTGTATATATGCGGGTGACCGGATGAGCATGCAAGCTCTAGTGGCCGAATGGTATGTGTGTGTGCTCATGTGGATGCATGGATGGATGGATAGCTAGCTAGCTTGCTAGCCCTCCCTTGGATGGATGGATGTGTGCCCATATAAATAGGCATGGCTAGCTTGAGTGGTGGTGGCGTTGGTTGTAAGCTACTTTGGGTAGTTTACAAACCAAGCCATGTATGAGACATGGTGCATGGCATGCTTGTTTCCTAGGGTATTTTATAAGTCAATACCTAGGGGACACGGTACACTATAGATGACGTTGCAATACGACCGTCCCGTCGGGGTCTTGTCGATGTCGAGTCAAGCTACAGTCGGCAGCCGGTTGGTTGGCTCAGTCGGCAACAGGCAGCCAGCCAGGTAGTGGGCCGTGTGACGAGTCGGCTCGGGCAGTCGGACAGGGGGCTGACTGAGGCGGCCTGAGCAGTCGGACTGAGGGGTTTTGCTAGCTCGATGTCTTGAAATGTCATTTTGCCGTCTTCAGGGTACCCGTAGTTAATAAATCTAACACGGCCCAGCGAGCGTGCCCTAGCGGCAATGCCTCGGGCGCTTACTGGGTCGGCCCAGTGCACGTCACCTTAGCATGCCTCGCAGACCCGCCGAGGTTTAGTACCACCTCATCGCGCGAGGAGTGCGGCAACCGGCTTAAATAACCGATCACGCCCCACCACGTCAAGCTACTATAAATATTACCCCTCAGGTTCTCACGTGGCCACATTGTGCGGCCTGGACGATGCCGCTGCTGACGCTGAAAGGCCTGTCCTGGACGCCTTTTGGTGAACGACTAGAAATGTTTTCATGGACGAGGTGGGGCCGGCGGATCGGATGGGCAAACTGCTACGTGTACAAACCGCTCATATGTCCCAGAAAAATACCATACGGAAGTGGGTATACATTCTTGTCGAAAGACCATATTGCCCTTATATATTTAGTAGGGGGGTGTGGCGAAGTGAAGCTCTTGATCTAATAGAATGTACAAATGATTCATATATATTGTCAAAATAACCAACCTTTTTAACCTAAAGCCGGTTAAAGATCACTTGAGCACAATTATAGTCACTTACATCAATAGTTTTAGTGGCTATGGTACCACACTATTATTACACATATACTACTAATATCAAAGAAATCATAAATTTAATTCTCATATATTTTTGACGCATTAAAGAAGATGCCCTCGCATAGTTGTAAAAGGAAGATGGGAAATAGGGACCATCACTCAAGTTTTGGGTCTGAACAAATAGGTCAATCACATATATAGTTTTTGGGTCTGAACAAATAGGCCAGTCACATATAGCTTTTCGGGGCTTTGAAAATAGGAGATATCGCTCAAGTTTAATTGGTGGGCTTGGTTTACCACACAGACCTTTTTTGTGGGAACAAAACTTGTATTACTCAATCATAATGTTCTTACAATCATCAAGCACCACTTCTAGGACCTTTGGGGGACCCGAGCCAATCCATGTAATAGTTCTATCTTCAACTCTAGTGAAACTAGTAAGGCAATCACTAGCCTTATTCTGACTACGATTTACATGAGTAATACAAGTTTCTCGAAGACTCCTCGGATGCTTGATTTCCTTCAAAAAGGGAAGTGTAGAATTGATGTATCTATTTCAATAACTTGGATCATGGCAACCACCGTAAGCAAATCCATCTTGATGACAATGGGAGAGTTACTCCGTTGAATTGCAAATGATAACCCTTCCATACATGCACAGAACTCCGCCTCTAGTGCATCCCAACATTTGAATAATTGTCTGCAAGCAGAGAAAATAATACCCGCTACTGAAGTTGGAGCTGCGAAAGACGATGGCGACTGACTCAACAACGTGTGCGTACGGTACACTGCAGAAGGTCTGCTAGACTGAATGGTTGTCTCAACTTGTCAGGGGCGGCTTGATAAGGCCATCGAATTAAATAATGTGTGTTGATGCGAGGTTAGACACATCATCAAACTTATAGATGTAGCGAGTGTGGTTGTTAGCAAGATGCTCTATGGTTGATGCATGTATTTCTTTTTTCTGGTTTTATTTTATAATATAATACAAATGACTATGTGTTACCTCTCGTTTAATGAGTGTGGTGTCTCTTGATGCTACACGATGTTGGAAGACCAAATCTTGATCAAGGCTTGGAGTGCGGTGTCTCTTGATGCTTGCATCGGTACATCTCAAACCGCCAAGAGGTATTGGCAAAGAATCGAAAATCAATACTTCCGCATGATGGGGAAGCATCCTAATAGGACTCCACGCACCTTTCGATCACTCCAAGGTCATTGGGATGTGATCAAGCCGATTTGTAGCCGTTGGGCTGCTTGCTTGGAACAAGTTTGCAATGCACCTCCAAGTGAAATCATGGAATCCGACTATGTGAGTTCGTTTTCACGTCCCATGTGCAAATCATTTGTATCATTTGAAGTGATTGCATCATTTGACATTGTTTTAGTTGTGTAGGAGGAAATTTCCCAACAAAGATACAAAGACATGGAAGCTTCTGAAGGCAAAAATTTTAAGCTAGAGCATTGTTGGGATTTGCTCAAAGAGTGTGACAAGTGGAAGTCGATTGACAGAGAATCCCCATCGTAGATAGGTTCACTTACGAACATGGATGAAGATGAAGACGATGATGGCCCAAGAAACTTGAACAAGCTCGATGGTGACAAGAAGACAAAGGAGAAGATCAAGAGGAAACACGAGGCATCGAGCTTGCAGGACAAGATAGATGCCATGATGCAATCAAATGAGTTGATGTTAGCGAAGACATTGGAGACAAAGAAAGAGTTGGTCGAGAAGAAGACACGAGAGAAGCAAGACAAGTGGCAATTGCTCAAGGACGAGGGGTTGCGCAAGGCGGCCATTGAGGAGAGAAGAGCACGTGCCGTTGAGAACAAAGCCATGTCCAAGCTTCTTACCGAAGAGAACAGGATCATGACGTTGAACCGCGATGACATGCATGACATCACCAAAGAATGGTATGATATGGCAAGAAGAGACATCTCGAAGAGGAGGATGCTAGCGGTGGCCGATGCGTGTTTCAATGCCGATGATGTTTTCTTATCGGGATTTGGAACCAGTGCCGCTGGTGCATTCAGTGTGCCCGGCAATGCTTTCGGTGCAAGAGTTGGAACAAGTGTTGGCAATGGATTCGGGGGCGGCGATGGCATCAATGGAGGTGGTGCGGAGTGAAGATCATGACGACGGGTGAAAAGCAACCAAGATGATAATGGGCGTGGTCGTCGCTTTTGCATGAAGTCCTTTTGCGTTTGTCGTACAAAACTATGCTTCTATTTGCGCGCGAGCTATGTTTTATTGTTCAAATTTGAACTCAATTGTTGGAATCGCTGTCAAATTCGCTTATCGTCATCAAAGAGGAAAGCGTATTCTGATGTGTCTATTTCAATAACTTGGATCATGGCAACCACCGTAAGCAAATCCATCTTGATGACAATGGGAGAGCTACTCCATTGAATTGCAAATGATAACTCTTCCATACATGCACACAATTCCGCCTCCAATGCATCCCGACATTTGAATAATTGTCTGCAAGCAGAGAAAATAATACCTGCTATTGAAGTTGGAGCTGCGAAAGACGATGGCGACTAATTCTACAGCGTGTGCATACGGATGCGCCGCAGAGGATCTGCTAGACCGAATGGTTGTCTCAGCTTGTGGGCAGCTTGATGAGGCCACCACATTAAATAATGTGTGTTAATGTCAAGTTAGACACATCATCAAACTTATAGATGTAGCGAGTGTGGTTGTCACCAAGATGATTTTGTGGTTGATGAATGTATTTTTTTTGTCTGGTTTTATTTTATAATATAACAAAAATGACTATGTGCACCTCTCGCTTAATGAAGAGGCCGAGGTTATCCTCTTCGAAGAATAAAGAAAGAATTTTCTAAGTCGATGCTCGCGAGGACCAGATTCCTGAGACGATGATACGTTCTTTTTCGAGTCAAGACGATGATACTTCACCCGCAAAAAAAAAAAAAAAGACGATGATACTTGACGCTGGACTAGTGAGTGACCTGACATCGGAAGACGGCGACTTACGCCGGCCGCGACCATTGAAATTGACAGTTGACAAACTTGACATGATAAGCAATTCGACATGCCGAACAACGAGAAAACGCATGACCGGACGACTCGAGCAAACATGACTCGGCCGACTCTTATTGCAATGGCTAGACTGACACAGACAATGCCATGAGGCGGGGCATAATTTCTCCCCTTGTGCATGATCGGACGCAACGGGGCATCCATCATTCACCGGCTAGAGGCCCCGCCGGCCGCCGCCGCGGCCGGAGGAGCTCCAGGCGCGCCCGGCGCGGTGGACGCCGAGGTGGAACCTCAGCATGGCCGCGACGAACGCGCCCGCCTGCTCCGCGTCCGGGGCCAGCACCCCGACGACGCCGCGCACAGTGCGCTCGCGGAGCGCGTCGCCCGCGGCCAGCAGCACGCGGAGCGACCGCCCCACCGCGGCCACGGCCTCGTCGGCCTGTACGCCGTTGCGCGGGTGCTGCCGGCGCTGGCGCAGCGCCTCCAGCACGCGCGGCCCCGCCAGGGACTCCTGCACGGCCGCCACCTCCCGGTCCACCTCCTTCTCGGCCGCCGCCGTGGCCGCGCGCAGGTCCTCCAGCTCGCGGCGCTGGCGCGGGCCCACGGCGCCGGAGCCGTCCACGAAGCGGAACACCAGCGCGGGCCTCCACCCCCACGCCCACAGGAAGGTGCGCTCCAGCGGGTTGAGCCAGCGCTGGTCCAGCGCCGCCACCACGTCGCGGTCGGCGAGGCTCGCCTTGTGCTCGTAGTAGGCGGCCACGTGGTCCATGGCGGCGTCCACGAGCGGCGCCAGCGCGTCGCGCCGGCGCGCCCCGAGCGCGGCCGTGAGGTCGGACACCATCTCCTCCTCGCGGCCCACCCAGGCGTCGTAGAAGGACGCCATTTCACCAGCGTGCGCCATGTATGATGTGTGTTCGTGGGTGCGGCGGCGGCGGCATCGTGCTGGGCGCGGGAGGGCCGGCATAAATCGGGCGGTTTCTTGGCCTGGAAGGGTTGGGGCGTGGTTTGCTTAGGCGCGGAGGCAAACGTGGTCGTGCACGGCAGTCGGCAGGGGAAGACGGATACGGAGCTTGGGCGGTCGCGAGGAAGGAGACGACCGTTTGATCAGACAGTGCGCAGACCGGTGCCCTCGTGCTGGCGTGCTCTGGTTTGTTTACTCTGTTTGTCTGGACGACGCACAGAGCAACCGCTTTGACCTTTCCAGTTCTGGACGACTCTCTGTCTCCGGTTGTCAGGCACGCAGGCTGCGTTGCCGTGTGCTTGCCAGGGCACGTGATGCATATTCTCTGCACTAGTATTCCTATGCGATTTCTCCTTTGTTTCTTCGACGACATCTGGGAAGACAGCTTCAGCTCGGCTCACATTTAGTTGCTGTGCTACTGGCTCAAGGCTACATAGCTCTCGAGTAAGAGCATTACTAGTAGAATCCTCAAACTCTCAAACCTTTATAGCAGTTTTAAGAATTGAGAAGTAGTATCAGTTTTTGACATTTTTAAGGGTTGAAAAACAGAGGCAAAGACTAAAACCCTCAAACCCGACCCTTAAACTGCTTTAAGGGTTGGATTTGAGGGTTCTAGTCTTTGAACCCTCAAACCCAACCTTTAAACTGCTTTAAGGGTTGGATTTGAGAGTTTTAGTCTTTGCCTCAACCCCAACCTTTAAAACTTTCATTTCATATATCACACATTTCATCATATGACATATCACAAATTCCATCACATTTGACGCAAAACAATAATCATTCTATTTATTATTACAACACCGAATAAAACAATAATCATTCAAATTATTACAACAATGTTTGAGCAAATTACACTAATTGTTCGAATCAAATAGGACATAGAAAAGTAAAACAAAGATACATCATGGGCCAATGCGCCGCCCATCCAACTGCCAGTGGTGCTCTACTAGATCATCCCGGAGCCAACCATGAGTGGTTGCATCCTCAATCTCACGATGTGCTTGAAGAGAAGCGTGTATGCGAGAAGGGTTTCTTTTCGGTTGCACACGGGTACCAACATTGTCATAGAAACAAGGAAGGTTTAACCCTCTCTCATCCTCTAGGATCATGTTGTGTAGAATCACACAACATTTCATGATGTTCATCAAGGTTTTTTTGTCCCAAAACCGAGTTGGACCACGAACTATGGCAAACCTTGCTTGCAAAACACCGAAAGCTCTCTCAATATCCTTGCGGGCTGCCTCTTGTGCCTTGAAGAAATGAGCCTCTTTTCTTGTTAAGGGCACCCCATTTTTCTCCTTGATGGACTTCACAAGAGTTGCCCATTCGGGATAGATGCCATCGGTGAAATAGTATCCCATTGAGTACTCATTGTCCATAATTTTGTAGTTGCAAGCTGGAGCATCCCCAGAAATTAATCTTTTGAACAAAGGAGATCTATTGAGGATATTGATATCATTGAGTGTTCCCGGCAACCCAAAGAATGCATGCCAAATCCATGTGTCCTGAGATGCTACGGCCTCAAGCATAATGGTAGCATCACGGCTTTTACCGCAATACATTCCGTGCCATGCCTTTGGGCAATTTTTCCACCTCCAATGCATGCAATCAAGACTACCTAGCATCCCCGGCCATCCCCTTTTTTCATTCATTTCCATTAATCTCTTTGTATCTTCCTCGTTTGGTGCCCGAAGATACTGCTCACCATACAACCGGATGACCAACTTGGCAAACCTACGGACTGACTCCGTGGTTGTATCTTGCCCAATGCGAAGATACTCGTCGGTATAATCCGCGGGTATGCCATAAGCGAGTACCCGCATTGCCGCTGATATCTTTTGATATGCAGTAAACCACATGATACCGGCGGCGGATCTACGACGTTTAAAGTAATAGGAGGCGGCCTCACAATCGGTGACAATCTTCACAAACAAACTACGCCGCATTCGGTACCTTCTGCGGAAGAGACGAGGAGGGTATGTAGGTACCTCCGCGAAGTAGTCTTCCATCAAATGCTCGTGTCCGAGAGCGCGGTTCCGGTAGATGGTGACTCGCCCCATCTTCGACCCTCTCCTCTGATCCATCAGCTTCAGGCGGTTTTCAAACGATTGCACGTCGATGAGGAGGCTCATCATCTCGACGTCGTCGTCTTGCAACAACTCGTCGATGTCCGAATCGTCGGATGACGACCAACCCGACGAATCGGACAACGAGTCCATGTCGTTGTTGTTCACCTTCATATACACAATACAACAAACAATAAATTGTGAGTGCCAACAATGAATCAGAAAGGAAAAAATAAAACAAAAAGAAAGAAAAAAGGAGGCATACCTGCGGGGAGCTCGGGGCGGCGGCGCGGCTGCCACTGGCCCGCCTGGCCTCTGGTGCGGCAGCTCGGCCTACCTCTGGCTGCTGGGGGGCGGGAGGCGACTGGGGGCCGG